AAAAACCGGATATAATATATATATATATATATAAGTTAGAAGTTGACAGATTCGGTCTATTATCCGCAAAGATGGAAGAAGCATAGTTTGTCCAGATTTTAGCTAGTTCTTCCTAGGTATGAACGTAGTTTCCTTGATTATTCTTTAGGCGAGTCTCATGGCGTTTCTTGTATATACTCGAAATTTCTTTGACCTTTTTATGTAGTTCAAAGCTGTCTCCCTTTTCTTGTAGTCATTCCAATTCTTCACAACGTTCTTTCATCCAGCTTTTCTTTGCGTTTTTAATTCTTGCCCTTATCCTACGTTAAATGTCCTTGACATCCTGTATTCCTGTTAATTCTGATTACTGTCTGCATTGCTCCATTAGATCAAGTATCTCTTCCGACATCCACTCGTTTTTGTGATTTCTTTTTGTTTTACTTGCCACTGCGGGTTTTCCTAATAATACAACATCTAAAAATGCATTATGTTTGTTGTTCTCTATTATTATGGTGGTCTGAATATTTATAACTCTACTTATGGCTCCATATCACAGAAACACCAATTAAAATTGATCAGTGCCTAGATGTTGCCAATTTAGATCTAGAATTGGAGCATTGTTAAATCAGTCCAAATGAGATAGGTATTAATTGATGGATTCGACTGTTACTTGATGGAAATTCATTTTATGTAACAATAAAACACTGAAAACTTTGTTTTCAAACTCCCACAAAATTTATTTTAACCTTTTATCACTACAGCTGTTTCGACTGATTGCCTTTCTCAAGTGATCCATATTTGGCATGCGTTTACACTTTATAGTCTCTAATGAAATAGGTTGAGGAGGGGAGCCGACATTAAATGTGGCGACTGCCCAAAACCTTACATCGGTCAAACTGGTAGAAGCTTTAATAAACGAATAGTAGAACATAAAAGGGCTTTCAATAATAGAGAAACAGATTCTACATACGCACTTCACCTTCTAGATCACAATCATTCTTTTAATGACGAATTTAAAATTCTTCACATTCAAAATAAAGGCCTTAAGCTATCCTTGTTAGAATCTATGGAAATCAACAAATTAAAAAACACAGATATAATTCTGAATGACCAAATTGAGACAAACAGTTCTCCCCTTCTCAACCTATTTCATTAGAGACTATAAAGTGTAAACGCATGCCAACAATAGATCACTTGAGAAATGCAATCAGCCGAAACAACTGTAGTGATAAGAGGTTAAAATAAATTTTGTGAAAGTTTGAAAACAAAGTTTTCAGTGTTTTATTGTTAGATAGGTATTACTCTAAATGTCGACTTCAACTTTACTTGCATCCTTTCCAGACATATACATCACGTTAATTACTTATGTCATTTTACTATTATTCGTCCGATAATAGGGCACTAAGGAGACAAACAGTTTTTATGCCATTAATTCTGAACATAACTTCACTGCAATACATCAGCAATACTTGTCCTTCTTTGCATATCTTCGTTTCTTAGCTGATGATGAAGAGTATTGCTGATGTTGTGGAACGCATAGCGGAACTAAAATGAAATTGGGCAGACCATGTAGCGAGAATGCATGACTCATGATGGACGAGCAAAATTACACATTGGAGGCCAAGATTAGACAAACGTAGTAGAGGAAGACCACCTACACGTTGGGCTGACGACGTCAGGCGTATCACGAAAAATTGGCATCAAAGAGCATACAATCGCAAAGAATGGAGGAGTTTAAGGAAGGCCTATGTCTAGCAGTGGACGTGACAAATGAAGGCTAGATGATGATGATGATAATGATAACTTCACTGACTTCAAGTAAAACACGCTGCTCTGAAATTATCTATATGATGAATAGGATATATTTGTATATATAGTTACATTATTCATTATTCTTTCCTAATAAAAATAAAAAACTACATAATTGTTTAGTCTATTTTCCTTATCTTTTACAAAAAACCAATCATGTTACAAACCAAGGTCGCCTAAATTCAAAGTTCACCGGTACCTACAACTACGCGAATAATTATTATTATACTTAATAGGTAAATTGCTATGGCGTTTATACTTTTAAAAAGTTCTAACTTTGATAAGTATCTTCATTAAATATATAATTCTTTTATTTGTTATTAAAAAAAAAAAATGTTTCACCAAACATTTCTACAGAGAAATCAAATTTGTTATCCTTTGCATGCCGTGCATGTTTAGCAGCAAACGTCATATGCTGCGATGCCAAATTGTTGTGTTTATAATTCCTTTGCACGCCAATTTATATAAAAAGATAGGAAATAATTATTTTAAATATTTCTAGCTTCACATTTCATATCGCCATTCATTTCATATATTAATAAATAGATACCAGATTAGATAAATAGTGATAAGATAAAATATATACCTACTTCAAAATATTTGATTCCAAATTAATTAAATGATTTATATTTTTTCTGCTCTACTCAAACTCATTAATTTATATTCTTATATTTATTTTGTTTGAATTTTGCCCGCAATTATATAGTTCTAACTGAATAAAATTTCGGTAATTTTGTTGTATTCGTTTATGCGAATCTTCTACCCAGCTCTTGCATTTTGTAATAATGATCCCTTTGAAGAGGCTCTGTTTGCTTCCTCAAATTTTGTTTCTTATTTCGTAGAAAATTAAAAAGGGAATAAATGGGGTGATATATTTAATTCAGAAAATATCAATGGGAGACCAAAAAATCACATAAATCCTCTTTCATCATATAGCATCTCAAAGGATATAGAAGATCCCAATATCTGTCAAATTATGCAGACATAACAAAGATTAGATTCTGCTATTCTATGCAGAGGAAGAACAAACGATGTTAGAACCGGAAACACCAGAAATTACCACAAATAAGGAGTTTAATATAAATGTACAAGAAGTTTGACAAATACTTGAAAACGTGAAGAAGAGAAAATCAAAAGGTAAAGACGGGATACCAAACGAATTACTGAAATATTTTGGAGCAGCAATAACAGAACAATTAACAAAATTAATTAATAAAATTATAAAACCCAATAAAATACCGGTAGAATGGAGAACGAGCGAAATGATTCTACTGTTAAAAAAAGGATGAAAAAAACGGGTGTAGCAGTTTAGAGGGACTGCCGGTAGAAATTATACTTCTATACACGTGTTCTCCGTTACAAATTTATATTTTCTGCACAATCATTACATATGTAATGCTATAGGTAAGAGAGAGCAGAAAGAGAAAAAGAATTAGGTATATAGGTATATGGTGCATCGTTTGCTGTATATAAACATTTGACCTGTAATAGGAGTATAGTAAATGAAGAATTGAATTAATATTTTAATGAAAATATATATTTTTATTTTCATATATGTATAAAAGGAGTTGAATGCAAAAAAAATTTTACCCATACTCTGCAGTAAAATTCATTTTTTATTTTGTTATTAATATAAAAATACCATACAATACACTGCAACATAATTCAATATAATAATACAATACAAATTAAAATGCAATATTCATAAGTATTTAAAAATGACAATATACATAACTTACTTACGCATATGTTTAATTTACCATGATAATAATATAAATAAAAAAAAATAATAATATTAATAAAAAAATAATAATATTGATAAATATTAAATATATTTACAAAAGGAACATTTTTATTCTCGAGAGGGAAAGAGAGAGTAAATATATCTTCTGTCTCTCTCTTTCTCATATCTTACATATGTAATGATTTCACCGATTACTCCCGTACAAATTTCTTTAAAACTTCAAAAACAGCCAGAAAACTACAGAGTTATGGTATAAATTTGTTAAATACTACGCTAAAACTTACAATTAAAATTTTACAAGTGGGAATAAATCAGAGGATATTTTAGCAGATGAACAACAGGGTTTTCGTAGTGGAAGATCGTGTACATATGCAATATTCGTTATAAAGCAAATTACTGAGAAATCACTAGAGTATAGTAGACCAGCATTTTTGTGTCTGATTGATCTAAAGAAAGCGTTTGACAGAGTAAAACTCAAAGATGTAATCCATCTTTTGTATAATAGAGAAGTTCCCAAACTATCGAAAACATCTACCACAACAAAAAATGGAAAACAGAATAGATAGACAATTTAGAACCTATAGAAATAGGCAGCAGAATAAGACAAGGGGATTAATTGAGCCCCATGCTCTTTAATTTGAAATCATCAAAAGTGTTGAAGATAATACAGAATGGAAATCAAAGAAATAAAAATACTCTGTTACGCAGACGACGCAATATTGATAGCCCAAGATGAAGATAGCCTGCAAATACTGGTCAAGACTGTATTGATTTATTTGCTAGATTATCTCTGCCTATATTCATCTGTCTCATCACATATTCGAGAGTCACGTTGAATAGTATCGGTATAAGTCCATCTCTGTGCTTTAATCCTTTGTCCATTGAAAAGTTCTTAGTAAGAAAATTTTGTCACAGAATAAATCTAGGCTGCCAGGGAAAAAGAATATAAGTCAAAAATCTTAATTTTAGAGGAATAGCATTTTATTATTTGAAAGATAAAACTAAAAAAATATTTGGACCTATATCAGGTAAATAGAAAAACATTAAAGTAATTTAAAAACTTAAATAAAAAACACATTTTAAGTATTTTCATCACAATTTTCCAAATCATCTCAATCAGGAAAAGTATCAGGCATGTCATCTGTCTTGAGATTTCTAAAAAACTCATGAAATGTAGGAGAAATTAGTGGTAAGAGATCTAATAAATCTTTTTTCTTTTCTTTTGAAATGGGTAAAGTAAAGGTATGTCATTTGGTTGGATTTAGCTGACCATTGGATGTCCCCTCCGGATAAGACTTAAGCACACTTAAGATCGGTAAAATTTAAGAAATCTGAATGGGTCAATTATACCACGCTAAATGTTTTCTTTTTTACCACAGAACGAACAAGTTGGTACCAATCATATGGATGAGAAATAGGAATTTGTAATTTCTTTTTTTTTTGCTTCTCAATGAGGCCGTGATCAACATCACATTCCATGTGGTGTACCTTCAGCTTCATGCCACATGTAACATGTGACGTTACCTGTACTGGCTTCATGCATGGTTAAATTGTAGGTCCATAGGTGCGATTTGTAAAATGCAACAGATGTATTGAGCATTGGCGTAGGGAGACATTGTTGTAAATCAAATGTATAGCATCGCATTATTTCATCGTCTTTCGCCATATTTTTGCCGTTTCTTTTTTCAATGTAAGTATTGTCAGCATCCTGGTGGTGGTCAGCTAATTCACTTTCTATTTTTTTTTCTTCCGGTGTAGAAATCTTCAATTTCATATATAACAAATCACGTTTGTGACAAGTATCGGCCTTAGGATCTTTAGGACTGGTGAAAGATCAAGTACAAAAATCAAATAGACTGACAGGATGTCTTAATAACACTGCATGGTAAAACAGACACATTAACACAGAGATGAAGTCAAGAATTTAAAAAGTGTATGACCAATAATGACATATGCCTCAGAAACAAGACTCGACACAGCCACAACGCAAAGGCTACTGGTAACGGCAGAGTTGAGAGTACTGAGAAGAATTACAGGAAATACGCTAAGAGATAGAAAGAGAAGTGAAGATATTGGAAGAAAATGTGTAGAGACATTTATGTCTCTACACATTTTCTTCTGTAATGTGTATTTAATTCATTTGCAATTTCTTTTCTGTCGGTTATTTTTTCTCCTGTTTTGGTTTTAACCGATTCAATTTTTGTATTTCCTTTTATTTTTTCACACAATTAATTAATTACATTTCAAAGTGATGAAGAAGAGGTCTTATTTTTTTCAATTCGTTGTTTTGTATAATTTCTTTTTGCAGTTTTAACTAAGTGTCTTAATTTATTTTTATAGTCTGTATATCGTTGTTTTTTTAAGTTATCTGAGGGATCTTGGATTAGCTGATCATACAATCTGTGTTTTCTTGTACACACTTTAAAAGTCCCCCTGTCATCCAATCTTTTTTAAAAGTGGTTTTTAGATCATTTCCTTTAAAATAATTGTATTTTTGTTTATTAAATTTAAAATTTTGTCAATGAAAAGTTTTACCGCTTCATTTTTATTTGTTTTATTGTAAATATCCAACCACTTTTCCTGCTTCAAATTGTTTTTTTAGATTTTTGTAGTTGATGTACTTCTTTATTATTATTTTGTTTTCTTTGGTTTTGGTTAGATTAGGAATGGAAATTGCGATTGGATAATGATCTGAAGTAGTATTATTTTCAAAAATAAATGAAGTTATGTTAGTGTAATCAGCAGGTCTTTTTATAAGGAAATGGTCTATACAAGTTTGACTTCTAGGTCTAGTTGTTTTATTTATATAAGACAAGAAATTTTGTGAAGCTAGAATATTCTGGTATTCTTCAGTGTGATCTAGATCCTCAAACAAATTAATATTGATATCACCAACTAATATATGAAAACACATTCGTTTTTTACTTATGAGGTATTGATGCAAATTCTGATTAAAATTGTTTATGTTTACTATCGGTGATTTATAGATAGCGCTCAAACAGATTTTTGTTTTATTATAATTTAAAATGACTTCAAGTAGCTTGATGTTCCCCAATGGTACAACTGAATATTCATATTTTATAGAAGATTTAATGTAAATAATAACTCCATCATTTTTGTTTAAATCGCCATAATTGTATAATAAATCATAATTTTTTAACAAAAATGGGGTTTTATCAATATCATCTTGAATGTGTGTCTCCGTGAGAACTAAAATATCAAAGTTGACATTTAGAGTTGACAAAAACAAACAAAAATTATCAAAATTCTTACCTATACTGCTAACATTACAATGAATTATTTTTAAGTCATTTTTTGTCACTTAGTAATCCTTATTAAAACTATCACTACTTACACATTTTGTGTCCACTTTTTCTTCTTCGTAGTCTCTAACATAGATATCCATTTTTTTAACTAGCACACACAAATTTTTACCGCACGATTAACATTACACTTAAATTAATGTTGTTCGTTTGACCTGGTTTTCCTTTTTTTCTTTTCTTCAGACGAAGGATTTGATGTAGTGGATGACTTTTGTGGCTTGATTGATTTTCCAGTAACAGCAGACACAGATGGATGTTTTTTTGACGTTGGCTTCGTTTCGTTAGTCTTGGATATTTTTCGGTTTATTTTATCCTCTTCTTCCGAAAAAGTTGGGTTTTCTTCAAGTTCTTTGGGCGTATAACTTTGATGGTCTATAAACAGTTTGTTGCCCCATATATAGCTGTTTTTTCTGGTTGTTCTTCTCTTACAATTTTCAAGTGTTTTTTTAAGATCTTAAGATCTTCCTGCTGACTTTTTGTTAAATCAGGTGATATAAATATACCTGTGACCTTTAAATTTTTTCCATTTTTCAGAATTTTAGTTTTTTTTAAATGGATGGTTAAATAAAATAGTGCCAACTATTTGATGTAAAACCAGGTAACAGAAGTCTACGTCTTCTTTAGTGCCAGCCGTAAATGTCTGTACTTCCTATACCTTCGGAATGGCTTCTAATAATCACCTCTGATTCCAGCTTAGATACAGACGATTCTATGTATAAAACTTTCTAATATGGACAAGATTCGTAGAAAACTGCAGATGTATAATGAAATTAAAGTTTGTTTAAGGAAATTTTAAAAACAATGTAGAAAGCGACTGTGGCGTATATACAAGATGTCTTCGAAAAATAAAAAAAATTAACAAGGAGCGTATAACACGATTCATCCTGTCGATTTGGGATTTTTTAATTTGTTAAATCCTTGTGTTGTGCCATTTAAGTATAGTTATTACAGTTTTCTAATCAGTTACTATATTTGAAGCTTCAGATATATTTTGGTTTATTTTTAAATCATTCCTGTACTGAAAAAATCCCATGATTCTTTTTTATTGTGTTGGATTTTCCACGAATTTCTTAATTTCGATTGTTTTCCGTATTATTCCCTCAAACATAAAATTATTGAAATACAATCCTTGACAATATTTTGATTAAATTGAAAACATTGTGATCAGCAGTAGTAATTTAGAGATTACTAGTACTTATGTTATATCGTAAGTTCCACCATTTATTAAATCCTTTTATATTCTTATTAACTCTAAGTAATTCTATATATATTTCTCTAAATACGGCAACATCGCATTTTAGTTCAAACCTCACGTTCTCCCCTCTCTGGTTATGCATGTAGCAATGGCGGTGGCGCTCAAGTCGTGGTGATCGTGTCAGTTTGTGTTTGTCGTTCGTTTGGGTGTTGAAAAATATTTAAAATAAAAACAAATAATCAAAATATTAGTGTATAGTGTGTATAACAAAAATTAGTGCAAGCAGTGATATGCGGATTACTTTATTGTGAAACAACAAAAAGGACGTGCGTGTTTATCAAAGTAATATGTGGATTTGACAGATAGATTACAACTTGTAGTCAGTCAACACAGTAGAAAGTAAGTGCATATGTGTGAAATGTGAATAACCAGATAAACCTAAATACCTCAGCACAAGTTTCTATAGCTTCTTCTACGATTTCTAATCTAATTTCTTAATTATACTTTTTTTTCTAATAAGAGTGTGATTGGTTATGTTGGCACACCCTTTAAGAAAAGCATAAATACTGACATAAACAATAGCTTTCTGATGTTTCTCACACTCAGCATTTATTTATTTAATTATTATACCACACTTTATGGATATTATCTAGTTAATATCATAATTTTAGCAGAAGGTCACAGGGTTCAGTTGCTCTATAATCACTATCTGCAATATGGGCAGTCAAAAGTACATCTAAACAAAACAAAGATCAGAGTAAAAATATAATATACCAAAATTGGAAACAGGTTCTTCTAATAAAGATTTATATTTGTTTTTGTTTAATCCTCTTACAATAGTACCAAATTTTACACTGTGTCAGTGTTTTGTTACTTTAAATATAAATCTAATACACTTGTGTTTATAAGAAAACCTTCCTTTAAATATTAAATAATAGTACCTATTGTTGGCATTTACAAGGGTACTTCTTGGTATTGTTAAATAAAACTAAAATAAATGTTGCTGAACTGTTGATTTATTAGTATTCTGGAAGAGGCTCTTATCTCACTATTAATATTGTAGTTTCATTTTGTTCTGTTCAATGCTTGTGCTTACTGTGTTTCTTGTTTAACAGAGTCTTGGTTTTTAGTTCTGACTAAATACATATCTGTAATAGGTTTTGGCTTTGTTGTCAATTCTGATGTATTGCAAAAGATTGTAAGATATTATCATCTTCTGGTTTCATATTGAAGCAAAGTTTATAATTTTATCAATCAATAATACTGTGATTCTGCTGTAATTTCTTCATTGTTAGTTAGTTTATCTTTATCATCACACCATCGCCATTTTTTGATGTTCATTGAATGTCCTATCCCCAAAGCTGTAATTTTCACATTATGCATATCCATTAGTAAATTAATATAAACATTGATGAATTAGCACCTCCTTATCCCTCTTGGGGGGTTGACACTTTGTTGTCTTATTTTGTTTGTTGTGCCAGGAATATTTCCATAGAATGTATATGATATAAGAAATTAAGAAACACATAATTTTAATTACTAAAATTATGTATTATTTGCCAATGACAACAACTAGCATGTTAACCAACAAAATAGAGATGGATATTTTGTTTAGTTTTTGAATATTTTTGGACAATCGTTACTTGCATAGTTAAATTATTCATTAATTTAATTAATATGATTATTTTTAGATGTATTTAGTGATTACAATAATTATTATACTAGGCAATAAAAACTAATAATCGAGAAAAGAGTAATATTGATAAAGTGATTGTAATAATATACTGTTACTATTAGACCAAGTAGATAAATTTTGAACATATTTAATAATTAAAATACAATTATATCCATGTTTACACGCCCTGTACCCTTATTGAATTTTAGTGTAGGTTGTATGTCTCATCCTTTACCTATAGATTTAATCAGAGTATAAATAGTTAAATATTAATTTTTGAGATACTAGTTTTTTTCCCGTAAACTTGGTTGTCTTTTTGGCACATTTTATAGTATTTTAGACACAGTTGTATTGAGCTGCATAAAAATATACTCCAAACAAACAATTATTTATCATGAATTCCTTGTGTGTAAAAATTTCCATGATTTTCAAATGCTTCCTCCCATTAGAGGTTCAGTATCATCACTGCTATTTGTGTTTTATTTACTGGTGTGTTAAATGGTTCTCTGAACTAAATTGGAACCACCCATACAAATTTCACAGCTGACAGTCTTCTTGTGTTTCCAATATGTCTTTTACCA